CAGGTCATTTTAATAAATTATTGGGAGTTATGGTTATCGACTTTGTTATACTCTAATATTCAGTTTTTCAAAGGTGTTAATTCTCAAATTAAAAGAAAATTTGTTATAAGAAAAGTTGAGGTTGAACATCGTTTACTCCATAATTTACTTTACTTACTTCTCGACATGTTTATTCATGACACAGATTAAACAGAAGAAAAAGAAGTTTTAGCCCACATTTGCGTAATTTGTATACTCTCACAATACTAAACAGAAATGAAGTTTTGCACTTAAAGTTCATTGGTTTTGTGCGCACGATAAACTTCTCTGAAAATATTCAATTATATAATGAATACAATTAAACAATGGATTATTTATAGTATTTTATAATTTACACATATTATATGCATCACTATTATTAGGTTATTAATTGTCACACTTGCCGTACCGCAGTCAGACAGCGACAACAACAACAACAACAACAACAACAACTGGCAGGCAACCAGCCAAGCAGTCGGCCAACTGAATAGCTGAACAGCCAGCCGTCCAGACGAGCCGGCGCTGAGCGAGTTGTAACTGCACCAAAGCGGTTCGAATCGGACCCCTTAATGACTGGGTGATGCTTCGTTATCTGGCTTGTAAAAACAAAAATCAAGTGAATCTGCACTACTCGAAAGGTTGCTCGACTAGGAATTACCCTATATACAATTTTATTTATATACTCTTCTATTTACTGAAAATGGAGCCCCCAGTTTAAAATACTTTACACAGAATGCCTGGCATCCATATATACCTAAAGAGATTAAAACCCAGTCCTCATCGAAAAAAATACGAATTTATGGGATTATTAAAAGTATTTCTTAATTCATTGCATTTAATATGCGAGATTAAATATTTCATATGAATTGTCGAGCAACAATTTTTAAGAATCCCGAAGAAATAGATATAGATTGTCTGATACTCCTTTTGACCATTACATATACTTGCAGAAAACATAGCTACTCTTTCTCGTGCAACTTGTGCAATGCCTACGGGGTATTTAAAAAATAACTTCAACTCAATCGAATTAACTGTGTTAGGGCGCAGACCACAACAAAAATCCCCATCACAGGCGCCCATTCAGAGTCCAGATTGAAATGTGTTTGTGTGCGTGTGTGACACAGCAGCAGCCGCCTGCATGGATCAGCAATATGCTAAATTCTAAGCTACAAATAATTAATTTACACACACGAATTAGATGCTTAATGACATGAGCCAGTAATTTTATAGTTATTACGATTTTCCATTATTAAAAACTAACATTTTATATAGTTTTTTCTCTCAACATTTAAAAGATAATACGCAGATCCTTATATTATCCAGATATTAGCCATGGGGAAGACAAGAGTTTCATAGCAAACGGATCAATAACAGAAAGAATATTAAGTGGCTTACTCTTGAAGATTTTCGAGTTATCATAGAGCTAGTTTTAGACCTAGACGCAATTGTTATTATCTCTATTATTGTTTATATAACTGATTAAGAGAGTGACTACATATTTTCATGGGTCTACTAAGTGGCTGCAGAAAGATAAAATTTTATATTAATATCGATCCATTCTACTGGCAAGGAATTCAAACATTATCATCTCCATCTCTTTGCGCCGACGACAGGCACTAATAATTTAAATGACAAAGACTCCGTTCTCTATGGAAGCGATTGTATCTAGATACTTGTCGATCTGTGCGGATACGCCAAAGTGAGACCTTTTTAAAGTGGTATAAAGCAGTTAATTCAATTAATAATCGAGTGTGAAATAATGTTTGATAATTGTAATTGTTTTTGTATTCCATATGCGTAAACGTAGTCCGAATAGCTGCAGCTAATTGATAAATGCCGACATTGGCCACCATGCGAGCACACGACCCCCAAACTGATATTAAAACCGAAGCACACCGGATGAATGAAATGCTCAGCATCTATTGGCTATTTCAAGATATTGATATATACATAGATATTCTTACAAGCTCACCAATTAGCCAATAGACAAACTGCTCGATCGACTTGTCAAGTAAACATTTCATTTGCGCTTTAAAATAATAAATTTGTCTGTTTCGCGAACTGTTGACTCTATTAATTAGACGAACTTAACTCTTGCCCACGTGGGTTGAAAAAAAAAAAAAAAACTACAAGATGCACTCAAGCCTGTCATCAGGTGTTAATCAGAGAGTGTCAATTAAACTGCTTGTAACAGGTTCAGTTTGGTTAGGTTTACCTTGATTTTCACAGAAGGTCAACTTCAATGAGCTAAAAAAGCTGCCTCTGCTCCTCAAGTATGACCTATCCCAAGAAATATGTGTGTGAGAATGTGTTTATTTGCTATAGCTTCTTGCTATTTACATTTGTTGTTTGTTAAAGTCTGTTTACTAAATTTGGACACACGTCTAAGCCCAAATCCCTATCTCAACAAAAGCGAAAACATCTTAGTAATATTATCATATATACTACACTTAAGTATTTACTCAAGGATATTTGTTTATGGGGGAAATCAAAACTAATTACAATTATTGAAGTAATTCAAATTTTATTAGTTCCCATTAAATTAAAGAAAATTTGCCCAAAATCAACGAAAAATAATCTTTGGAGCAAAATAGATGCAAACAACCAGAATAAAAATTGATGAGCGAATGCGGCAACAATTTAATTATGCCAACAAAAACAAACAACAAAGCACTCGTCAATAATGTAATATACATACATGAATATATATACATACACAATTATAGATATAGTTACATATATCTTCCCGCTGGGGGCAAGCATATATGAGGTTTACAGAACTATGCCACAAACAAACTGTGTAGCAATTCTTCTATTGTAGACACAGAAAGAAATTGGGATCGTATCGAAACGTGAAAATTATAAACAATGTGTAAACTATTAATAATTGCCATGAGAAATTTGCCTAATACAAGCGCCAAATAAATGTGAAACGATGTATACGAGCACAAATTTGGATATTCACATACATGTATACATATTTATGAGAATCACACGTGAGTAATAAATTTTTATTAATTTATTAAAAACCATTTACGATTCTTGATAAGCCTGCTAACCATTTTTATTTTATTATTATATATTAAGTCGAAGCTAGGTGTAATTATTTATAATTATACAACAATAAAAAGTTAATGAGATCAAAATATTAATAACAATAATAATTATTCACATAATAACAATTACTAATTGTATTACGCTGCGTATGAGTAATCTTTGAACGCTCTGTATTGCAAATATTTTTTACAAATATTTTTTATTATAATAATATCTCTTTAGTCTCTTTATATCATCCCGCGCGGTCAAGTGGAGACATTCTGTCTAAACATTTCGGATCATTAACCTAATACGATCAAATGACATAAAATGAAAATAAACACGTAATTTTAACTAGTTATTATACTAACAAAAGGGCTAAAACAAACTCGTTTCAAAATATTCCGAATATTCCCAGATTGGGGTACAAAACGCGCATGCCAATACTTCAAAAGAAAGCACACCAATACAACAAACTATAAAATAAAACAAAACAAACAAATGAACAAAAATGGAGTGAGTACACAAGATTTGGCTAATAGTATTAGCCAGCTGAAGCATGCGCTCATTTTCTCAGCACATTTGTTTTTTGCGCGACCAGACGATTCGTCGGCTGGTCTTGGTCGGCTTCGATCGTTGGACTAGAACAGTAAGATGAAGAGTGACTTTCATATACTTAACCAGCAGTAGACACTCTTTGCTCGTGTGTCTCGTTTCGTTTTTATTTAAAGCGTAACTGCTTTTTAGCTCAGCTGGCAACTTGTTGCCAGCCAATCAAACCAGATAAATCCGATTTTAATTCGATTAAAGGGGTTTTCGCAACGCTCTTTGGCCAGATTGTGGTTGTTTTGGTTGTTGTTGCTGTTGAGACTAGACCTGTTGTTGTTTTCTGGGTAGTAAAGATGTTTTGAACTGTTGAGTGTGATAGTGCCGGTGCGATTTCGGTATTAGCGTCACATTGTTAGGAATTAAGTAAACAAAAGAAAACCAAGTTAATAGGTGCCGTAAGCGTTCATAGACGTAAATATTAATAAATCAAAAGAGAAAAAAAATTAGCAAATATCGCAATTAGTATTATTAGCAGTGTGCCTAAAATACCACAAATATACCAGGGACAGTTGCCAACAAGTCCTGCCACACAAGTAGTTATTACTTTTTGGTCACACTGCCAACAATTGTTGTTAGTGTCTAACTGTAATGTTTACTTTATTTGCCTTTACTTTTTTCCTCTGCGAGAATGGCACTCTGTTGCTGCTTTTGCTGCATATTCTTAACAGAGAGCGACATCAACACTGCTACTGTACTCACACATGAAAGCTAGTGTGTTAAAATTTAGCTTGGCGCAAACAAAAAATATACAACACTTGTTGGAAACTCACCACACTCACTCTCACACACTGGCGCACTGCGCTTATTCTTACCCTATACGTATTTGATTGGTAATCAAGCGAAAGCCATAGCAGCACACAGTCTGAATGGTGTCCATAATCAAAAAAGCATAATAATCCAATGGCAAACACTTGACAACGCTCAAACGACGTGCGACAGCCAGCGCGTGAAGTCGTAAGCTGTAACCGGCGCGTACAGCATTTCGTTAGCCGACATACGCAAAGTGCTAAATAACGTTAAATCAACCGATACGTTATTCCCCGCCATTCATATTAATTTTTAGTTCGAATGCCACGCGTTAAATATATGCTAACATTTTCGATTTTTTATTAAACGCTGTTGAAACTTCGTCGTGTGCACATCAGTCAGCCAGTTAATGCTCAACAGCCGATTAGAGCTAAGCACTCCATTTCGTCACTCTGAAAGGTCCTGCTCGGCCATCTAATGCAATGCAAATGAGTGCGCTGAATAACAATCATTTTGTATAGTGCAACAACAGTTGTCAGTGATAACACAAGCAGTTGAAAACAATAAAGTTCCCAAAAATATATAAACAAAATTAAAGTTGAATCATCACCAGCAATTCATAACAATGGCAGATCGCTTTCAGATCTTAAAGGTTAATGGCAGTGCCAATGTCAATGCCGCTTTCGACGCGGAAACCGGCGGCGGCGGCGGCAGCGCAGCCAATGCGGAACAGCCACCAAATGGGCCCGCCAGTGGCCCCGCCCACGAGAACCATCTGCAGCCCAAAGCAACAGACGGCGGCGAAAGTCGTCGAACATCGCGTTTATCCTTCCGTGGCTTTGGCCAATTCCTGCGCAAATCCGATGCCGAACGCAAGTTCAGCCTGGCACAGCTAACAAAGTGAGTGACATAACAACAATAACAACAACAATAATGATTTCAAATTAAAAAATAAATAAATAAAACAATACGAGCAACTTCTATATAATATACAAGTAAACTAAATTAATGGATTTTTATTTAAAATCTTGATTGCATTTGCCAATTTGTAATGCCTGAAAAATGTTTTGGAATCTCAGTTTGATTAAATGCGCCGTGTCAGAAATACTTTGTTGAAAATTTCCTGCGTGTAGAAAAATACTTATAAATGATTTCTGGTCCAAGTAATTTTATGAACATAAGTTCATCCATTTAAGTTAAGCATGTATATTTTTTGTTGAATTTAGTTTGCGTACTGTTTATAATTATAGGCAGTAAACTACGCCGTTAATTATCTAACTAATTATATTTAAGCTATTTTCAATAGCGCTAATGGAAAGAAATTTATTTACGAGTTTTTTTTTTTTTTAAATTATTTGATTTAAAAATATTATTGCATTTCCAATGTGCGAATCGTGTGTAACAACTTTAACAACCTTAACAATTTATTTATCTTTTATTATTTGTTACAATATTTTGTGCTAAATTCGTTTCTTAATTCCATTTATATCAATAATACATATATGTGTGTATATGAACAGATATATATACATTTGTATATATATAGCAAAAATGTGCTAAAATGTTCGTCTGATACGCGTTAAGTGATTATATTTGGATTTTCTTCTTAGAATTGTTGACTTTAATCAATTAGCACTGAGCGTGCGTGATTCAGTAAAGTTAATAATACCATATAACTGTCAGTAAAACCATTAATTATTCAATCAATGCATTAACATGCATATTAAGTGCTCTGCAATCAATTTATGTGCTCGTTTAAGAAGTCTACGAAGTTTATTGGATTATGTTCAGGTATATGCACTTTCTAAATTTTGAAAGCTGGAAAAACTCTATCATACGTAATCTCCGTCTCAGATTGTAAAAGCCTAGTTGTGTTTTGTTAACATTTGCTTTATAAATGTACAATCGCACAATACGATATGACATTGCCAAATAATTTGCGCGAAAATTGCTCTAGGCAAGAGATTCCGACTTAGAGATACCCAGTACATTTGAAGTGTCATAGATAAAAAGATATAATTCGAAAATTTTTCCCTTATGGATATTATGTAATATTTTTTACATGTATACAAATTGTATAGGGTATTTGGGCAGAGCGCAAAAACTGCTTCAAACTAAACGTAGCAAGCCACAAAAAGTGCGAAAATGATTTAAATTAAGTAAATTGCTTCATCACACATATAAAATATACAAAATGAGACAAATTAAGCAACAAAACTTCCAATAAAGATTGCTTCGCTTTATTTAATTTTCTAATAATATGAATAAACGTCTATTGTTTTTCATATAAAAGCGCAGTTAGCGAAATAAAATTTAAATAGTCTCGTAACTCATTTACACGTGATTCTGGCTTCCTACATTTTTGTTGAAAAAAAAAAACCCCGAAATCGAAAATGCAACATTAGAGAGATAATTTTTTAATAGACTTGGTAATTGTAGAGAGTTTGACTCGCTAAAATTAGAGATGCAAGATTAAGGCATGTGAGAATAAACAGCGATTATTCAGGTTTGCCTATGGCTTGTGGAGGTGAGCCACTAAAAACGCTAAGTATTTGCTGTAGTTTCTACGAGGAACAGGTTAAATCAAAAATGCGTATCTATGTGTCTACTCTGTACATTTGCAAAAATTCTGATAACTATTTTGGGGGTTTTAAATGTGAATCTGTTAATCTGTCTACGGCGGCATTGCTTTAATTCCTTTCGTTTGATTTATGATTCGAATCGTCTAGAGAAAAAAAGCAGAGGGAGGAAAATTGTAGAAAAGTTGAACTAAAATGAAAGAGATGTGATTATAAATAAATAGTAAATTTAAAACAATTCAAAAAGTAGAAGAGAATATAAAAGAAGCGAATTTGCACTAACATATCATAATTTTTTCATTTTGGGTATAGCTAAAATATTTGTGAATATTAACCATACATATATCTCTGCTGTATTTCTTTTGTATCTACAAATTAATTCTATTTTATTTGGTTTAGTTCAGTTTACACATTCAGTCCATAAAATTGGAAATTTTCGAGGTCTATTAGTCATGGGCAACATTAAAACGAAGAAATTGTAAGCACATGACAGGTCAACAATGCAACCCTCGGGCCAAGATCAGTTTAATCAAATAAACAAATTAGCGCAAATATTCCATTGGCATAGCGATTGCTGCATGTTTAAAAAAACGTGAAGAAACTGCGAATTAAATTCAATTAAAAACATGTCAAAAAGCCGTCAAAAAAACGAAACAAAAACTAAATGCATGTAAGCATTCAATTTTCTAAATGAAATGTGAACGTAAATTCAATTTTGAAAACTTTTTGCACTGGGCAAACAAGTCCGAGACGAGTCAATGCAAAAGCGACAATAAAAAAAAAAAGTAATATAAGAGCGAAGCTGGAAAACTGAATTGGCAACTAGTTCTCAAAGTCACTCAACTCAGTTTGATTTGCCGGTCTATGTATATTTAACTGGAGAACATGCCAAGCAGTTTGTAGCCCACATAACTCTCAGCGAGATGGGTCCGCATTGATGCCGTTTGGGAGTTATTGATGGGTTCACGTGCTGCTGACTTGCCAACAAATTAGTCGTTGGCACTTTCCGAGACTTCTGTGTGTGATATCATAGCCCAGTGAGCAGCAGTAAACGAACTCAATTGATCGAAGCAAACGGACAGCGGGACTGTGAGACGAACGGATCGAGTGTGGAGCTCACTCTGTGGCTGAGTTTGTCTTCTTTTTCATTTCTTCATCAATTGTTCAACTAAATCATACTAGCTAAATCTCAACGAAACCGCCACGCAGCCACACACACACATTCGCACACTCACACACATGCAGATGACATACAGTTTGAAAATGCAACGAGAATTGTTTATTTTATATATTTTCGATGCGTTGCTGCTGTCACTCTAAATGTCTGCCATCTAAATTAAAAATTAAGAAAACAAAATGAATAACCAGAAATAATTTCTGCACTTTACCAATTATTGGCAACATTTATGGATCATATACGAATTGTTGTAATAGCACTATTCGACAAACATACCTCTATTTCCGTTAAGTATTCGCAATATTTGAGATATTCGTGACTTCACATGATAGATGTGATTATAGAAAACTCATTTAAAAATATTTTATTTTACAATGCAAATAGCTTTGTCGGCAACATAATAGCTAGACAGTGGCTAATGTCGATCGTAATGCATTCAGCACGAAAAATATTACTAAATAGATGTAAATTAATTCCTCTTTGAAACCTATAAAAAATAGTTTACATTTTTTAATATACGTATTTTTATCATTCGATGTAATATGTCTGCAAAAAGTATGCAACAAAAAATGTTATTCTCAGAAATATGAAATATGAATTAGGAACTCATGAAGAGTTAAATAATCTAATCTAATCTAATATTTAAATATTATTTTTGTTTTTATAATTGGGAATCTTTAAAAAATGAATTAAAAATCGCTGTGCTGCTTAATAATAATAATATGACAAAGAAGTTTGACAGAGTGAAAGATGTATGTATATTTCGTATTATAAAAACATTATTAAGCGTATTTCATGGGACAATGAATAGATATATGTAGCTAATTTTAAATAAGAGTCTTTGTACAGTGTCTCTTAGTCGGGCAATCCTCAACTTGTTGTTAATCGAAATAATACAAAGAGCCTCTTGCTGTTGACCTCCATTCAGTAAAGTTCTAGATCCATCTGATCTGCCTTTTGTGTTTCGGTTTTAGTGCAGTTCCTTCTCTACTCTAGTATACTAAAATGTTGTCTATCTGAAGCAGTTAAATTATCTTTGGCATTCGAATTGCTGTTTCTGTTTTCCTTTTGCCATAAGTAAATATACATACATACATAATCGAATAATTGAAAGAGTCTGGTCGTGTCAGTGGGCGAAGTCATTTTCCCTGCCGAGCCAGACGGGCACAGATCAATAAGAACATGAAGTAGAGCGCAAAGCAATGAAATAAAAAACAAAGATAGAAGCTAGGGCAATTTTTCATCAACTTATGAGCATTTCTCCAAACGTGGCCTTCCCCTTGGGCACCTTGACCAATTCGTTTTTCTCATTTCTGCGTATTTTATGATAATTTTCTGCGTTTTGTTTTATATTTGTACTTTTTTGTGTCTTATTTTGGCATTTTCATCGCACATATTTGCTTGCGGCTCTCTTTAGTTGGTATTTGCGCTTCGCAAGCGGCGGGCTACATTCATGCTGCCCGAGTCGATATTATTTCTGATGCCGTTTCATCAGTATGATTATCTTTTCACAATCCAATTACACCGACAATCGATCGATATTTACGTTTGGCTTTCTATTGTTACAGGGAAACGCTTCCGCGCTTGGATAACTATCGCATCTCTATGCGAAATTTGAAGCGACCCTCAATTGGCGAACTTCAAGGCGAGGTAGATCAGGTAAGTTTCGACAAGTTCACACATATAAAAGCACCACGATGAAACAACTAAATCTGTTGATGGAAAACATAAAGTGCATAAAGTTAACGTGTGTGGAATCTCTTGTTTTCGAGGCATTGCATAAGGCCGAATTCAAGCTGATTACCTTTCTATATAACGTTGATATGTTTTACAACAAACATATTATCATTCGGACTACCTCAAGTTAATGGTATAATAATAACATTATTTTATAATTGTATGTACTCCGCATAGTGAATCATATTACATTTGAATATCTTAGTTTCAATGCCACAACAAGTGAGCAATAAATAAATAATTTTAAATATCTTCCGCTAGCCACAACATTCCTGAAACATTTCGCATTTCACATTTCTTGCATATTTGTAATATTCAAAATCGATTCGACGTCACGTTTGATTTTGATTTGAGATCCATGTGCTGATTTTGCTGAAGATTCTGCAGCCCTTTAGTGCTAAGGCATCCACATGATCTCTGTTCTGCCTGCCTGCTGCCTGCTGCTGCTCATCTGCATCAGTTTATGTGTATTTGAAAACATTTCAAGTGCTTCAGCAATAAACAAACCAAATCTTGGGACGCCCAAATCTAAAAATCATAAAACACACGCGAGAGTACATACAATTTACATATATAAGGTCGAAAGTGAATTCGGTCAGAAATCAAAATTGTACAGATTTCCAATAAGCATATGCTGGCAGCTGACTAGCAATGTGCACAAGGAGAACCGCAGTGAGCATGCTAGACTACAGCAATACCCTCTGTTAAAACCAATAAATACTAACGGAGTCTGCCATATATATTAAACCGTGAACACATTATGACATTAATCAAAATCAATCTCTTTAGGTAATGGCAGAAGAATAATCTCTTTCAATTATTCACACATTTTTGCTCACCTTTTTAATGGCCTAATTAGTATAGGGTAGCAAATAGACGCTGCGTATTTGATGAGTGCTATGTACATTATTTATTAACACGAATGCTTACTTTATTGACTTGAACAATTTTCAATTCGCGTTTCCCATACGTTTTCCATGACGTATACGCAATGTTGTTTATTCAACTTATCGCAGAGTCAACTGATTTGGATTTGGGCGTGTTAACAAGTCGACCCAATGACGTCGCCAGTGGTGGAGCATTATCAAAGTGTGTATGGGTGTGTGCGTGTGTTTGTACCTTTGCCAAGAGCAGCCCTGAGACGCCTTATCAATCAATTAAGAATAGCGGAGGTTAGAAAACCCTCGAGATACTTAGTCAGAGCTCTAGTTTTTTTTTTATGCTTATCGCCGTCAAGGCAGTAAATTTTATGCGTCTATTGTGACCTGCACTCAGTGGTGTGAGCCACCACAAGCAAAAACTCAATTCGCCACCCACCACACCCAGCCCAAGCAAATTTCTCGCATATTGTTTAATTAATTCCGGCTGCTCTGGCTGCTGGCTACCGTGCTGAGTTGTAGGACAGCGCCAACGTGGCGTATGAGAGATATCGTAAAAATTGCATTACAGCGCCGGCCGCTCATTAAGGGAATACCAATGAAATCGTCGCATAAACTATAATTGGCCAGGCAGCTTACAATGTACATGTATAAGTGTGTGTGTGTGTGTGTGCGTGCGTTGCAGACAAGCTCAAATGACGATTATTACAGCAGATAACGAACTTTACTTAAACTATATGAATACAAACAAAATACAACAGACTCCAACACATGTTCAAATAACAGATGTCTATTAAGTAATGAACATTAAGTAATGATGTGAGGCAGATTGAAAATGTATTCGTAATGAATTCATTACCAAATGAAAACATTCATATCACTAAGTATTTAGTTGGTTAGTAGAAGAAATCGTGTAATTATCTTATTAGAACTGAGCTAATTAAAACTGTTTTAGATTACGATTTTTAATCACATCTACTCAAATTAATTGGTAAAAAATAAATCTAATATATCTTTTTCAATACTTAACCCACTAGACTAAATATTTTTTATCATTTATTTTTTTTAAGAAAACAAAACTGTTGATGGAAATTTTAACAACTTATCAAAATTTCACTTCTTAATTAAAATGCTTTCAAATTTACCAATACATATATGTATACATATATAGTAAAAGACTTTAAATTGAAATTCATCAATAATTTCACTAGAGATTAGATTTTCGCTTAAAGCTATTGGAAAAGTACCTAAGTAAATATGACACAATCTATAATTTCGGTCACCCCTCAACAGATGTAAAATTGTAAGACTATTCTTATGTATGTACATATAAGCCCAAGGATGCCCATGTATTATAAACTCTTTTTATACCAATTCATAGCTAGCAGAGTTTTTACTTCCAGCCTTCTTCTATGACACAGCTAAATGAATATTTAATTGACACTTAAAAGCTTAGTTTCAGTTGTAAAGGCTTGGTGATATTTACATACTGAAGAAGAGCTCTGAGTACATATTCCTGTGCATATGGGAGCTAGCTGTGACATGTGTCTTGAAAGATGATACCATTGACAGCCTTGGAGCCAAATTAATTGTCAACAAGAGTGCTTCAAACGTGCACACAGTGCCACCGCTATGTATATTGTCTTAGCTATCCACGCCCCCTAGCGACAACGGGGAGAACTGCAGTGACAACCGGTAAAATGCATTGCCCGATGTGACGTTGAGTCGTCGTCAGCTAACAACAAGTGTGATAAAATGCACAGGGCGCATCATTAAAATTGACAGCGGCGGGCGACAGATGGCGCTGTTGTTCGATCAATTGTCAGCGAACAAACGAGCTATCAATGCCATAATAGAGAGGGACATTAAGGCTGATGTTGTCGGTTGCCAACCCCAAAAACTGGCAACATGTGCGTCCACACACACCAGCACCACTATGTGTGTGTGTGTGTGTGTGTGAGTGGAGAGCGCATTAAAAATGTTGACAGCTTGTCAGCCCGATAAGCACTCACTTGAAAAATTGTTTTCAATCAGTTTTTACTAAATTAAAAACCTATCAGATCAACTAGAAAAAGTGCCAAAAAATAATCATACCAGTTCTCGGCAGTTTTTTGACACGTTTTTTAATAACACTTGAATTGAAATTAATTTGTCATCGTTTGGCCTTATCCCGTGACATTATCAATCGATTTTTTTTAAATTAACAATTATCACTAAATGTTGAGCTATTAAGATATAAAAGTCTCTTCAAGACAACGATCCGATAATATAAAGCAAACAAGAAAAAAAACCATCGCAACGAACGCAGAAGCACATGATCTGCTAACTGCGCAGTTTTCAATTAAATTATGTATGGATGGAGTTGGGGGCGGTATCCAAAATACCAAAACCATCAAAATAATATAAAATACTCCCTTATCTGCAATATATGCAAAACATTTTATAACTACATTGTTATTGGTTTCAATCGATAACATATATACAATATGTAGATATAGACATTCTACATATGTATATACATATATCATATTAAGGAAAAAGATTTGCTATAATTTATGTAACAAGTAAAGTCTAAGATCTTAAACCATTAAAGAAAGGCTCAAATTAAAGAGAATAATAAATAGTTTATCCAAGGAAGACTGAGCTCTTACTGAGCAATGTAAGAAGGGTTTATGTACAATCGACACACAACAGGTTTCAGTACTTAGTCTACAAATAATATGTACATAAAAATATACATACATATATGTATATAGCTGGAATATACAATTAAAGTGCTTCGGTGCCTGTTCAAAAATAGTTTCGTGTCGTACCACGCTGCGTATGAGTATTTCGCATTTCATATTTGTGTTTACATCATCAACGGCAGCAGCAACAGCAGCAGCAGCAGCAGCAGGAGGAGGAGTCTCCATACGAGCAGCAACTGAAAACAGTTTTCTATTCGAAATGCGCTTTTCTGCTGCACTTGCCGGGCATTGTAATAATTACAATTCCAATTTGCAATTCATATCAAAAGACTCTGCTATTTATACAACATTTATCGATTCCTTTATGGGAATCTGCTGCTGCTGCTTGTGTTTATTTAGCGCGTTTCTCGATTCATTTAACCATGGCAAAACAACAATATTTCCATTGTTCTCGCCTTACGCTTAGGCTTCTATAGCTTAAGGTGAGTTTCCTTAAAATTAAAGGTGGCACAACTGTATGAATAATATTCATTGAATACCTTTCGTCTTGTGCATGTTGTATATTCAGCAATCAAATTTTAATAAGCGAACATATTGCATTAGGGCGTAAACAACTGCGTCATACCTGCCCGCCGTATGAGTGAAAGATAATGTGAGGTCAAGTCGGTGCTTGAGCAGCAGTCAGAGGTGCTCTTAATTAAGGAGTCCTCACTTATACTTAATTAATATTCACTTGCTATCGAATATGTTGTTCACAAGTTCTCCAACTGCATACCATATAAACTTAATGAATATCGTAAAAGCAGAGCTGCAACTAGAGATATGTAGGTCTTTAAGCCATAGTAGTCTATATCTTCAGATGAAGCTCTCAATCAAATATTCGCTGGTTGCCACTTCCAGACTCACTCCATATACTTGTCTATGATATCCCATAAGACGCTATTCAAATTCCAATTGCAATTCCAATTTCCAATTCCGATTCCGTGTGTGCGCGTGGCTTCTGTGCGAAAAAAAAAAGAATTCCACGCTTGGGCAAATGGCAAAAGAAATGCGCCTTTAACTAAACTAAATTAAATTACCCGGGCGGGCGTCATACAAACAACACAGTCGCCAGCTCCCTGGCTGGTCTGTGTATGTGTGCGTGTGTGTGGATATATAACCAGCTAATTGTGGGTGTGTTTGAGTGGTATGCGTATATATGTATGTCTGCCTGTGTATCATCTGCCTGTCTGTCTGTCTACGTGTCTGGCTACCCGCCGCCCAGCGCCGCCAAAAATGTGTAAACAATCAACACTGGCCACCCACTGGGAACTGGAGCCAGCAGCCAGCAGTGAGCTAGTGCCAGGAGCTGCCCCAAGCTGAGCTGAGTAACCAACTAGCTGCTCTGAAGGGGTGTGTAGACATATCCTTCGATGTCACACAATGCCAATGTGCTTGCTAGTCCTGTAGAAAGACCCGCCCATTTCGCTGCGTTCCGCCTAGCTCCATGCCCACCCGACCGACCCTAGGCAAAGAGCCAACGCTCACATTTTAAAAAACATTCAATTATGTTAGCCAACAACAAGGTGGATGATCAACGTGTCGCTCCCTCTGTGGCCTCTCGACTCACTCCAATTAGATGTCACATAAGCCGCAAATAATTCTGCCGAAATGAATAACGAAAGAGAATCAATCGAAATTTATTAATTTGCCACTATTGTAAATAGACTTCAAGAGACGACATTGTATTTTTATTGAACTGGAACTCAAATGATAAACAATTTCATTTCGATTTCCATTTGTTTTTAATGTAATGAATTCTTAAAAAAAAAAGTCTCATTTATGTTCTGACTTTAATTAAAGCTATTTAGTTGGCTTAATTTAAGTTGAACTTATATTATTGATATCCATTATGATACAAATTATATTTAGTTTAGATAATCATTGTAAAACACTATACTCTATAGATGAATTGGAATTAGGCAATTGACAGAACTCTAATTGGATTGATTACTCTTTTAGCATGGCGAATCGAGGACTCAATTAGCACAGATCCATAATAATTTCATAGGGTAATTTTGAAAAGCCGTTTGTTGAGGCTTGTCCAGCTTCCACCTTAGAAATGTACGATTTTTAGCGTAACTATAAAATCCAAATCAAATGGAAATGTTATTGCTTTCATATCCAATGACTTGACAAGATGTTAATTGAAAGTTGGCAGATATAACAACTACGCAAAAAGCAGCAGATTTTCAGAATATAAATAAGATTAGCTAAATAATAGGATAAAATTATAAATAATGACGTGATCCGCAGTGAAAAGCATAAATAGATATAATGATTTAGCAAGATGTTAATTGAAACCCAATATAAATTGTATTTCTAGGAAGGAAAGCTGTAAATTTGTTAATATGAAATTCTCTATAAATACAAAATTATAACCTTATATATAATCATATATAATTATTATAGATTACTTTATTATTGATTAACATTAATCAAGTAGTAGCAGTGCGATTTTTTTTTTTTTTATACAATTACATATACCCAAGAGGAAAGCATTTGCCATATTGCTGAATGCGTTTTATTTTGTTATTTGTCTATTCCAACGTCTATAGACCATTAATATACCAGATGCGGCGGAACCGGAACCAACTGGTGGTCACATCAAGCTGGGATGGATTGTCGGCGTACTCATACCGTGTCTACTCAACATTTGGGGCGTCATGCTCTTCTTGCGTCTCAGTTGGGTCGTCGCCGAGGCCGGCATTTTGTGGGCGTTAATTATAATTGCCGTCTCGTCGGTAGTGTGCGTTATAACTACTCTCTCCTTGTCGGCCATTAGTACCAACGGGGAAGTGAAGGGCGGTGGCGTCTACTTCATCATATCCCGCTCGCTCGGCCCCGAATTTGGTGCCTCCGTTGGAGTTGTTTTTGCTTTCGCCAACGCGGTTTCAGCTTCGATGAATACAATCGGTTTCTGTGAATCGCTAAATCTACTGCTGAGTAAGTATCCTTGAAGAAACTCAATAAGCGATCGGGCTAAGCTCCCATCGAATCTTGCAGAGAGCAACGGCTTAATTATCGTCGACAATGGCATCAATGACATCCGCATTGTGGGCTCCGTTACGATACTGGTATTGATCTTGATCTGTTGCGTTGGCATGGAATGGGAGACCAAGGCGCAGAATTTCCTCATCTTCACCATTATCCTGGCCATAATCAACTTTCTAATTGGCTCTGCGATCGGACCCCGTGGTGATGAGCAGCAAATATCAAGGGGATTTGTCGGATTTTCTTGTAAGTTTAACTTGGATAAACTATTTAAGGATTTGTTTCTAACCTTCTGCCTCAATAGGGTCCACATTCAAAGACAACTTTGGCTCTGACTATCGCTATGCAGAAGGCGTCAACCACAACTTCTTCAGCGTCTTTGCCATCTTCTTTCCGAGCGTAACTGGCATTCAGGCGGGAGCCAACATCTGTGGCGATCTAAAAGATGCCGGCGCAGCCATACCAAAGGGCACCTTCTGGGGCCTACTCATTTCGATGACTTCCTATGTACTGTTTGTCTTGTTCGCTGGCGGTGCTGCAGTTCGCGATGCCTCCGGCTTTCCCGAGGACTTGGTGAACGGCACGATTGTGCCATCGGAACTGCCCTGCATCCAGTCCGGCAACTGCAGCTGGGGCCTCTTCAACTCCTATGAGATGATGCAGGAGATGTCGCTCTGGGGACCGCTCATCTACGCTGGCTGCTTTGCGGCAACGCTGAGCACGGCGCTGACGAATCTGCTGTCGGTGCCGCGCCTGGTCCAGGCTTTGGGCATTGATCAGATCTATCCGGGATTGATTTTCTTCTCAAAGCCCTACGGCAAGCATGGAGAGCCCTATCGCGGCTATGTGCTGACCTTCTTCATCTCCACGGGCTTTCTGCTGATTGGCGAGCTAAATCTGATTGCCCCGCTCATTTCCACCTTCTACCTGGCCTCCTATGCGCTCATCAACTTCTGCACGTTCCACGCGGCGTTCGTCAAGCCACTCGGCTGGCGTCCCACTTTTAAGTACTACAACGCATGGCTTAGTTTATTCGGGTTTGCGATGTGTGTTGCGATAATGTTTCTCATCAATTATGTGGCCGCCATTATAACGTTTGGCATTATCTTTGCCCTATATTTGGTGGTCATGTATCGAAAACCGGATGCCAATTGGGGATCTACCACACAGGCTCAGCAGTACAAGGCTGCCTTAATGGCCGTGCATCGTTTGCAGAACGTATCGGACCACGTCAAGAACTACCATCCCCAAGTGCTAGTCCTTTCTGGTGATCCAAAGACTCGTCCGCCACTCGTCGACTTTGGCTTCCTGCTGACCAAGAACAACTCGCTTATGTTCGTGGGCAACATTATACCGGTAAATGCATATTTGTATATATACATATAAACAGATAGCTAATCAATATATTATCTGCTGCAGGTGAGGGTGGGATACAAGAACCGCCAGAATCTGGTCAAGGACGGACAAAAGTATTTGGACGCCCGCAAAATCAAAGCGTTTTACAATGTGATCGACGGCTTCAGCATCGAGGACGGCATCAATGCCATGATCAAGTCCACAGGATTTGGGAAAATGGCACCGAACATCGTGCTGGTGGGCTATAAGCCGGACTGGAATTACTGCCGCAAGGAGGAGGTGGAAAGCTATTTTGCCATTTTGCAGTGAGTAAACAAAAAAGCATGGCCCAGATTACAGTTTCTCACGCGAATCCTTTTCTCACTTGCAGCAACGCCTTTTCGCAGCGCATGGGTGTGGCAGTGCTTCGCCTGCCCAATGGTCTGGACTTCTCGGACCTAACGCCAAAGGTCGTAATGCCCGACAACGGCATGGGCCACTTGAATACAGCCAATGGACAAGGCTTCGCCAACGAATTGTTACCCGCCGCCAACGCAGCCTCGGAGCTGCTACACATTGACTCGAACTTGAATCTGGCCAACATGGATAGCGCCAGTCCACACAACTCGTACACCATACCACAGGAAGCGCCCTTGCCCAATATGCAAAGCTGCCGCAGCTACAAAATCAACAATTCAGATGCCGCGTCTATTACCTACCACACCAAAGCTGGCTCCGAGGTGCCCCAAACTGTGCTGGACGAAATGAACATATTTACACGAAAGCAGCCCAAGGGCACCATCGATGTCTTTTGGCTGTACGACGACGGCGGTGAGTCCACATAATAGACGACAGAGTTTGAATTCGATTTTGATGGATGCGTTTCCCTATTGCCAGGTCTAACGATTTTGCTGCCCTACATCATCTCGATGCGCTCGCATTGGCAGAACTGCAAGCTGCGCGTGTTTACCATGTGTCACGGCAAGGACGAGGAGCAAGAGGAGAAGAGGTACGATACGCAAGTCCTCATCTAACTGAAAGATTAACTCTTTACCTTATTAACTTGCAGCATGGCCAGTTTGCTGACCAAATTCCGTATCAAATACTCAGAGCTTGTCATGCTCAAAGGCGTTCAGGATCAGCCGCGTCATGACACAATGCTCAAGCACAAACGGCTCATCGAACCCTTCCGTCGCAGCCCCCGCAACGAATTCGGCATCACTGACGACGAGCTGCACAGCATGGCCGAGAAGACGCAACGACAGCTTCGCATCCATGAGCTAGTCGTGAAGCACTCATCGAACGCTACACTGGTGGTCATGTCCCTGCCAATGCCGCGCAAGGTGAGTACCCAAACCCAAACTCTTTGCAATTCAATCTTATACTCTATATATAAATCTATTGCAGGAGGCGATCTCAGCACCACTGTATATGTCGTGGCTGGAAATGCTGACGTCAGATATCAAATGCCCAGTGGTATTGGCACGCGGCAACCAGACGCCGGTGCTAACGCTCTACTCTTAAGGTTAAATCAATGTTCCAGTTCGAGTACAATTTAGTATTATTAGCGTTTAGGCGTTCATGTTCCGCGTAGCCAACTACTATATATAAAACGATGCAACTGCTACAAACCTCCCAAGAACCTTAAACAACTTGATAGTCCCTAAAGCAAACATTATTATAGCAGCCATAGCTTATAAGTTGATTACGAACTATACTGTTTATGTATATTATACAAATATGATGCGTAACAATAAACACAACTACAAATTGTGGCATCTAATCCAGAAGAACTTCAGCAAATATTCATTGTGGTAGGCAGTAACATACTACTTAATAAATATTAACTTTATAATCGCTCTTTATAGGTGATCAAATATATAAATGGGCTCAGAAAGTGAATCTTAATCAATTTAAAGCATCAGATATTGCTTATATGCGTAGTGGCTAGTAATAGGCACGACGTGGATTATTCTGAAAGAGAATAGTTCGTTACAACGGATATTTCGATTACTGCGCACTTTTCAGCTTACCAATGGGTTTGGGCGGAAACGGTATGCCAACATCATACGCTTTCGGTATGCATCATACTCGTTGTCGCAATCTTCAGGCTGTGCAACACTTCCAACCCCCAGACCCTGGTTGCCGTCACGTTGTGGCGCCCTGCAAGTAATTAGGTTGTTTAGCAAATAACATGATAGCGAATTCGAAAATATCGTACTTGTTAACTGGATCTACAATGCCAGCACCGTCCTGGCCCAGGCCTTGACCCTCTTTCCAGCCGAGCTTTTGCAGCATTTGAAATCCAATGTTATCTTCCTTCAATTTGTACTCCTTGTAGTCACTTAAATCCGGCTGTCTGTTACTTTTTTTTGCTTCGTACTGCTCCATGAACTTCTTTAGTTCCTCGGGAGGCAGGAAATCACCAATGTGATGCTTGCCCTCGCTCTGCTTAGTAAGTGCATTGGCCCACAAATGAGTGGCTTCCATTTCAGCTGTGCGCAACTTATGCTCCCAGGTGCCGCCCTCGATGTCCTCATCGGAGTCGTATTCGTATTTGAATTTACCGCCTCGTGCTAGGCGATCGATCTCTTGACGCTTACGCATCATGTCCTGGTATAACAAGTTGACTTTGTAATGCTCTTCGCATTGCTTCCACTGGTCCTCCGACAACTGTGTGGACCCATAGTTAAGACGAGCGTACTGCAGCAATGCCGGATCATTACGCGTGATAGTGGTCAGCAATGGCTTGTTCTGGTTTCCAAAGCTAGTAGGTGTACCTGAAATATAGGATTTTGAAAGTTATCCTATATTAGGTAGAAGTAGCTGAAAATTCACTCACCTGAGACGCTTGGCAACGATTCCTTTTCACCCCAGCGACTTTTGCGCTCTCGCTTGCGGCGCTGCCGCTGTGTCTCTCTATCGTCCTGATCCAAATTATTCTGATCACCAGATGTGGCCATTGCCGCTTCCTCCTCTCGCTCTCTGCGCTCCTCATCACTCAGCTCGTTGCGGCACTCGATGCGACGCTTGATATTGTCCCGATTGCGATCCATCATGCCACGCATATACTCATCATCGGAATCAAAGTCGGCAGTAATTGCTGATTCCGGATCGTATTTATCTGCTGCCGAATTGCTGTTGTGTTCCTCCTGCTGCTGTCGATCTTTCTGTTGTTGTTGCACTTGCTGCTGTTGAGCTTTGTTTAGCTGCTGTTCGGCCCGCTCCCGTTCTCGCTCGCCGCGCTGGCGCTCGTAGTCGAGCAGTTGGCCGCGATAGTTTCGATATTGTTCGCAGTTCTTATCGTAAAGAAACCTATTTTAAGATTTTAAAGAAGAAGTAAAACGTACAATGAATAATGCCCAATTATTCTATACAAAGACATTATATGAGTAACTGTTTTTTTTTTTTTGGAGCCCGTTTAGTAGTGTGATTTTATAGAATCCTTCAGCTTACTCCTCCAGTGGAATGGCGACGGGCAACATACGGCCAGTGTGTGACAAGTGGGTGATGCGTGCGACCTAATCTCATGCCAAGTCTAATCCGCTGCTCAAAACCTTTAATCGGTACTCGGACTATACTATAACTATAGCTATATGATCAGCTAATTATCTGCAGTACAAAATATAACTAAATATATGAAATGAATGAAGTTCATTAACTAATATTAGAGAACTGAACTAAATTGTCCCGGAAGCTATTACATGAGTCTAGGCGTAAGTGTGTCCAGGTCTCTGATTTAAAAAAAAAAACTGAATCTCACAATAAATTCTATAGCCTTGCAGTCGCTATTATTACTAACTAATAATATATTTAATACAGAGAATACTATAGAAAATATTTATGGCCTTAACTAAGACAGCACTCAGCTCGAGTTATACGTTACGAATCAGATCAGTTAACTATAACGGCGGACAAATACTTAAAATGAGTCGAATTATCTGCAAGGACATTATATGTTCGGTAAACCGAAGCCACTTCATGTTTCCTCTTAAATGTTTAGTTATTCCGTCCGAAATTCAAGAGCCTGCCCCACTTTTACTCAGTTTTTAGTTAAAGTGCCCTGCGCATGATAATGTGCAGCTGATTTACCACAATGCCGGATGCAATTCGCTTCTATGCAAACGTATTTTATCTTCGTAATCTTCACCATTTTCGGCGACCAGTGCGATAAGGTTTTCTATGCACGTTGGCAATTGTATGCATGTTTCTGAAAAAACTACATAAATTGCTTTAAAATCGTGCACAACGATTCATAAAATATATTAAATGAAAATAATTCAGATGTTGGGAGAATTTAGGATATTTAAATTTGGATAGGAGTTAGGTAGATGAGGGGAATTGATTAATGGATGGGTTATTGCAGGAATTTTTACAAAAAAAGAACAGACAAAAGCAATTGACAAACTACAGATACACACCTTGGGCTGGCGGCGATATTGTTTGCTGCATCTGCTGTTCTTGTGTCTGCTGCTGCTGCTGTTGATTGTGGTGCTGTTGCTGTTGATGCTGTTCATTTTGCTCCAGTTGTGCTTGCTGCAATGCTGGTTCCTTTGGTTGCATAGGCGGCGGAGGCGGTGGAGGTGGATTGACCGTTACATGCTCCGGCAATAAACCAATTTGATCCATCTGTGTGACATTAGGCATCTGTATGGCCTCGAGATTAATTTGCGGCTTTGGTATAGCATTCAAGTCAAAGTCTTTGGGTGCCGGTATGGCATTCAATTGATGCATCGCTGCGTCGGACGGCATCTGCGTTGGTCCCAATTGCATATATATTGGCGTCAAATTAGCCAACGCAATAGGAAGTTGTGGCGGTGGTGGCGGTGGCGGTGGGGCCACAGCAGCTGGATGCAACTGCATAGGCAGATGGTGTCCATGGAAAAAAGCTGGCATCGTCATCTGTGGCGGTCCTTGTGCCAACATCGTGGGGTTGAAAGCAAAAGGCGGTGGTGGTGGTGGTTGCACAGACTGCGGCATAGTTGTAGCCGTCCCGGGCATGCTAAATGCTAAATGATTGTGCCCTGAGCCGGCCATAGTCATGCTATTTGCCATAGAAGTCGCTATCACTGCAGCTGCACTCGTGTTTATTGTACTAACCGCTAGATCCACCGACTGTTGCGGACTATTATTATCGGTGCTCCGAGTGTCGACCGTATTATTGTCCTCACTGTTGAATAAAGAGGATATATTAAAGAATCGCTACAATCGATAGACCAAAGTCCTTACCTTGGCTTTGTAACAGGAGCCACCATAGTAGGCGGCTTGGGTTGATCATGTTTCTCAAGTATTTTCTTAAAGTTCTCCAAAAAAGAGCCATCATTACAAAATGTATTTTTCACTTTAGGTGGCGGCTGCTCAACAGAGGGCTGCGGCAGCTGTTGACGTTTAAGGCTAAACGTAATTTTGCCCGTTTTGCTCGTAAAACTGTTCAGCGTTTTAGCCATACCATCATCGCACTTAGCTCTTGCCGCTGATCCCGTCTGATCATGGTTATCTATTTCCACCGCATTTCCATCATCAGCAGGCGCTGGAGTTACAGGTAACGTCTGCGTTTGTGGTTCTTGCTCCTCCTCCTGCTCCTGTTCTTCTGGTTCCACTATCGGCGTTGCCGTCTCAATGGTTTTTAGCTGTGCAGCCAATGTTTGAGCAGCAGCCACAGCCTTTGCCAGCTGCGCTGTACGCTGCTTCTCAAGTATTTCCTGTCGTTTTTTGGCAATTATTTCCTCTTGCTTGCTCATTTGCGCAAAACGATCTACACGATGATTACGTTGCGCCATAATTTAATGATTTAACTTCCTTTTATCCGGGGCGCTTATATAAAACCTTTTGGTACTTCTATTCACTGCAAGTAAAAACTATGCATGTATAAAAAAAACGTAGAATGGTCACCCGATGTCAGCAATGTGACCAGCGACATATAAAATACTAATTGTTACGAAAATAACAGCACAAAATACCAAATCTGAGCTGCTGCTCAGATTTAATTTCATAGTCGTACAGATTGCTTGGATTTGTATAATTTTATTAAATTCAATATTTGAGTTCACACATATAATATTATAGGGAAGTAGTAATTTTTCGCATTTATAACGGGCAAAATTTATGAACAACTTCAAGGTTTAAGACACATAAATTATGGCAAATAACTTGTTTTGATGATATTTTTGAATTACAATAACTTGAAAATTTTACAACACTTAGCATTGGCAGTGTATTAATTTAAGCTATATAATTATAAGTTTTGACTAAACGTTCACTTTAAGTGAAGAGAATTGTAAATATATAAATAGTTATAATTCATAATAAGTCTCTAAATGCGCCTAAAATTTCAAACAGTTAGTTCTTATTCACACAAAATATTTAAGGAATAAATAATTTGTATTTTATATAAATTCATATAATGCATTTTCTAATTGTATTTAGGTACTATCAATCCTTTCAACATATCAAAACTGTTACCATCAGGTTGAACAGTTTCAATCGTATCATTCGCCAATTTAACTTTTAAGAAGCCAACGTCATCAATACCAATAATTTTGGCTTCCTTTCGTTGTTCGTTTTGCAGACAAATAGCAATGCTTTGCTCACTAAAAGTAGGAAGAAAATATAATTAAAATTGTTACACATTTTTAAGTAAATCAATTACCTATGCAGCCAAAGATCATAGTACAAAGAGTAGAAATTTTCAAAATTTCCGTTTTGTACTTCTGTCAATATTTTTTCCATTTCATTAAAAATCATTGCAATAAACAGCTCATATTTCAGCAAAGGTAGTTTGGAGTTAGGGACTCGCACATTATACTCATTTATTAAGTCGTTAATACACAACGTTGGTTTTGAATTGTTTAAATTAATTGCGCAACCAACATTTACAATTGCCTGTGAGCCCAATAATGTGGTATTTACAACAACTCCACCAATTTTGATATTTCCATTAGCTATAATATCATTTGGCCATTTTAAAGCAACATCGAGTACCTTAAATAAAAAGTAATATTTAAGTAAATATAAATTTAATTTATGCTCATATATAATAAACATATATGTATATACATAATAAAAAAGATGATTGGCTGGACAATATCGATACTTGTAAATATGTATGTTGATAAATTCTGATATATCATTACTCATTACGGCTAATTAAAAAAAAATTGTATAATTTTTTAATAATAGAAATAAATAAAATACAAAAAAAATTATAATAGGTTCTTATCATAAGACTACCAATTATACATAAATCCAAACGTATTAAAAATCTATTTAGATAAAAACCCATTTTGTAGCGATATACGGTAAAAGTGTATCGATAAATTGAACTACCCAATAATAACGGCGATACCATTGACGATAGTTACGCAGCTCTACTACTTGGGTGTAGAGAAATTTCGTGCGTGCAGGCGACAACACGGCACCCGTTCTGTCTACCTTCTAAAAACTACTAAACTTATCGCGTTTTCCGCATTTCAGAATCTTTCTTGAGGTTTACATTTCGCGGGATTGCTCGTGTGTGATTTCAGTAAAAGAAACAAATCAATTAAAGAGAGGGAATGTGCATCAAAGTGGTGCAAACAACAAATGGTTTGTGAGTGCGTCTGAAAAAATCAATCAGTTTGTGCTGCTGCAAGGGGCGGGCGGTTCACAACAAAATGAGCAGCAGCGCCGCCGCCCAGCTGACTGCACCGCCAGTCAGCAGCAACAAAGGCGCCAGCAGCAGCAGCAGTAACAACAATACAACGACGAATGCAAGCGAAAGCAATCTAATCATCATACAGGATATGATTGATCTCTCGGCTAACCATCTGGAGGGCTTGCGGACACAATGTGCTACGAGTGCAACGCTAACGCAACAGGAGATACGGTGTCTAGAATCAAAGCTAGTACGCTACTTTTCCGAACTGCTCCTAACCAAAGCAAGGTTAAATGAGCGTATTCCCGCTAATGGGCTGCTCCCACATCACCAAGCCACCGGGAACGAGTTGCGTCAGTGGTTACGAGTTGTGGGTCTAAGTCCGGAATCTTTGAATGCATTCCTATCGCGGTACACTACACTGGAGCAAATGTTGCAGCTGAGCGACGAAGAACTGAAACAAATGCTTGCCCACAATCCTAGTAGCCAGCATGATGAAGAAGTGCGTCGTTTGACTAAGGCGATGCATAATCTCCGGAAATGTATGGAAACACTAGAAAGCACCGGAGCAGTTGCGCCAAATCCTGATCCGGAGCAATGGCACTGGGACTCATGGGATCGACCCCATCCGCATCACATGCATCGCGGTAGCATTGGCAACATTGGCCTCGGACTGAACAGCGCCTCGCCTCGCACACATCATCGACAACATCAGCATCACGGGAATAGCAAGCCAAAAGCTGGTAGCAGCTCAGCGTCAAATTCTCGTAGCGAACAGCAACCACTTACTGGCTCACAGATGACTTTAACATTAACTCCCTCGCCACCGAACTCGCCGTTCACACCCGCCTCCGGCACGGTATCTGCCAGCGGAACTCCGCTGCGCAGCTTTAGTACGGCAACAGCTGCTGGCACGCCACCTCCCGCCAAAAAACATCAAACGTTACTAATGCATAACAGCAGCGCTTCGGATGTAGGAATAACTGAGCAACCACCAAGGCCGCCGCGTAACCGCTTGCCCACAGATCCCAGCCCCGACAGCCATAGCTCGGCCAGCAGCTCAGACAATTTTGTGGACTCTAGCAGTATCGGCAGCTCTAATGTGTTGTTGGTGCCGCCCTCGCCAGGTGTGGCACACGTGGGCATGGGTCATACCATTAAACACCGTTTTAGCTATTGGTTTGGTATACGCGCCACCTGCAAACTATGCCAAAAGCAGATGTTGAGTCATTGGTTAAAGTGTACCGACTGCAAATATATTTGCCACAAGTCCTGTGCCCCGCATGTGCCGCCCTCATGTGGTCTTCCACCTGAATATATTCACGAATTTCGCCAAACTCAAGTGGGCGGCAGATGGGACCCATCCCAGCACAGCGGCAGCAAAATGTCACCAGTGCCAAAAAAGAATACGCTAGGCAAACCGCAATTACAGCAGCCGCAGCTACAGCATGGAGACAGCAGCTCACCAAGCTCGAGCTGCACCAGCTCTACGCCCAGCAGTCCAGCACTATTCCAGCAGCAGCAGCAACAACAACAACTAGGCACGCCCAGTGCCTGCCAGTCGAAGCCTGGTCCTGTTGGTGGAACAGCGGGCGGACAACAGGGTCAGCAAAGTCAATTCAATTTCCCGAACGTGACTATCACTAGCATCAATGCCTGCAATAGTAACGCGAGTGCAGCCCAAACGCTGATATCCAATGAGTCCCAACCACACATGAGCACAGGAGAGCCTCTGACCAACGGAAACAACAACAGCAGCTCCACCAACAGTAGCCACAGCACTAGCACTAATAACAACAGCAGCAGCAGCTCTAATGGCCTGATCCACTCATTGACTGGCAGTCAAGCGTCGACCCATTCGGCTGCTTCGCAAGTGTCGAATTTGAGCAGTGGAAGCACGGCCACCTATACGGCCAGCCTGGTGAACAGCGACAGCTTCTTTCCCCGCAAACTGAGCAATGCTGGTGTGGACAAGCGCACGCCATTCACTAGCGAGTACACGGACACCCATAAGTCAAACGATAGTGATAAGACGGTGTCGCTGTCAGGGAGCGCCAGCACCGACTCGGATCGCACGCCTGTGCGTTTGGACTCAACTGAAGATGGGGACTCGGGCCAGTGGCGCCAGAACTCCATATCGTTAAAGGAATGGGATATACCCTATGGTGATCTGCACTTGATGGAACGCATTGGACAAGGACGCTTCGGCACTGTGCATCGAGCCTTGTGGCATGGTGATGTCGCTGTGAAGCTACTCAATGAAGACTACCTACAGGACGAACACATGCTGGAATCATTTCGCAACGAGGTGGCGAATTTCAAGAAGACGCGACACGAGAACTTGGTACTATTCATGGGAGCCTGCATGAATCCGCCGTATTTGGCCATTGTCACATCATTATGCAAGGGCAACACACTCTACACCTACATACATCAACGACGGGAAAAGTTCGCCATGAATCGCACGCTGCTGATCGCCCAACAGATTGCGCAGGGAATGGGCTACTTGCATGCTAGGGACATAATACACAAGGATCTGCGCACCAAGAACATCTTCATTGAGAACGGCAAGGTGATCATCACGGACTTTGGCCTCTTCAGCTCCACAAAGCTGCTGTACTGTGATATGGGGCTGGGGGTTCCACAAAATTGGCTGTGCTACTTGGCCCCGGAACTGATACGAGCGCTGCTGCCCAGAAAACCGGCTGGTGAGTGCTTAGAATTCACGTCCTATTCTGATGTGTACTCTTTCGGGACCGTGTGGTACGAGCTCATTTGCGGCGAGTTCACGTTCAAGGATCAACCGGCAGAGTCAATCATTTGGCAAGTGGGGCGAGGCATGAAGCAATCGCTGGCCAATCTACAATCTGGTCGCGATGTCAAGGACCTGTTGATGCTGTGCTGGACGTACGAAAAGGAGCATAGGCCAGATTTTGCACGTCTACTCTCCCTATTGGAGCATTTGCCAAAGAAGCGATTGGCGCGCAGTCCCTCGCATCCCGTTAACCTGTCACGCTCAGCGGAGTCTGTGTTCTAAGCAGCCTACTATATACATTTATACATTTCTATACACACACACATAAATGTTATATATGTAAGCAGGCACATGCACACTGTTTCAAATTAGCACAATTTCACGGAATATATATATATATATATATATATATATATATATATATATATATATATATAT